GTTTTCTCCTTATGATCAAAAACAGCATGGCCGCTGATACATTCGCAACAGCGATGATGCGGCACATGTGATACAATATGCGGAAGGTGATTGGCTGTTAGTGAGATTTCGCTGCTGAATGCGTGTCGCGAACGTAAGTGTGAGCACTTTCGGGTCGTGCGGCTCTCCTCGTAAACGGGCGTTTTTCCTCATATCTAGGTCGTGGGCGAAAGGTATAAAAACAACGCCGCTGTCTGCAAAAAATACGACACCGAAAAAAGAATGGTGCTCTCCCGCATGTTTTAAAAAAGAAGACGCGACGGCAAATCTGTCTCTTTTCTCCTGCTGGCGTTTTTTTCCTCTACTCACATATTCTACGGACAGCTCGGTTGGCGCCGTGTGCACCGGAGTAAAGAATCTTGCACGGGCTTTTGGGCTAGCTGGGCATCATAAAATTAGGAACACATTACATCAATTTCAGATGAGTATTTTTCTAAATATTTCACGCATATTGCACGACAAATTCAAATCTTGAACAAAAAACTGTGCACTTCAAGTACAACCTTTTGAACTGCATTACCATGAGCCGCTGGGACTTTGTTTGGAAGCGGGCTCACGGTGAAATGCGGTGTTATGACCGGAAACCAGTTCGGATGTTGTGAGAAAACCGCCAATTTGAAAGTCCCGCGAGCTGTGCAAGTGCGGAATCACACTTATTTTACAAGAGTGTGAGTCAGGGGCTTGAAATGGGTGTGGTCACTGGTGGTGCATGCCAGCGACTTGTAATCATCTTGACGTGATGGGGAGTGTGCGTGTGAGGTTTGTACTTCTCAGAGAGAGCATTGTTTTGGTATTCTTTAAGTCCATTGACTCCAAGTAAAATGAGATATATCGATATCTACCTCAAACCTTATGTTCGTGTTTGAACAGGACAAGGTAGTGAAGCTCGTAAACTGAAAGAAACACTAGCACCTATGTTCCAGGGGCGTGCAAAGGCAATTTGCTACTTCATTATGATCTTGCCTACATTTTGAATCTGTTGTAGCAGCACAGCATGTAATTAATCCACTGCATGTCATTGTATTAGCAATTCATTTTGGCAGTAGGGGCTGGTCTGCGCAGCTCATTAATGCACATGCTTCGTATAAGCTCACAGGATACAACTTTGCAGAATCATCTTTCTCTTTAAAAAATCTGAATTTTGTACGCAGGCAAGCACCGTTTGTGAGTCATCAGTGTCATAGCAGCTGTAACTTGTGAGATGCTGAGTGCTGAGAAAGGTGGGGAAGTATTGCTGTTGGTTTCATGGGCAGCACTTAATGATATTTTTATCATGAGCCCTGTGTGAATCACCAGCTTCACCACTTCCTCTCATTTAATCCATCTAACCATAACCACATGCACTCGTCATGTATCCAGAGTTGTGCAAAGGTCGGCAGGTTTGCAGTGTCACTTCACAGGTAATATTTTCTTGTCATACATGTGCTATGACTTGTGTGAACAACATTTTTAAGTGAAGCAGCCCGATGGCTGCAGCATGTTGCATGGCTATGGAGGCAGAAGACTGTGTTTGCATCTTTGCCACCCGTCTTTTGTGGATTTCCAAAACAGGCTGAACAAGTAAAGTCACCTATAGGTTGTGTGCTTTGCTGAAAGTGCTTTGTATATTGTATCATGTGTATCCGGTCAGTCATATGTGAGATGCGTAATTAATGCAAGAATGCATGCTTGACCCATCTTTTCATGATACAATTCATTATGAAAGCAGCAGGGATTGAAATACAAAACCATATCATTGTTCATTATCCCATGCCACAGTACAGCACTGAGGTAGTGCCACAATGACGCTGTTGGCCCGTGCCATTACACAATGTATTACTTTGGTTGACTACCCCATATCAAACCTGTGAGATACCAACTTATAATTTATGAGTGACTGGTAACAGCTGATTTAACAATGTCAAAGGAATATCAACAGTGAGAATGCTGTCGCATCACAAGTTATATCAGGGTTCACCAGAAATTGTATAAATAATCCTCAACAAAAGACATTTTTGGTAGCTCACCTTTACCATTTTTACCAAAGAAATAACAATTTTTGGCAATTAGTTCATAGCAATGCTATAAATTCATTAATCTTTCCGTGTAACTAGATTTCCAGTTATAAAAAAGGGTAACTACTGTGCATTTCACGTGACATCAACGTCAGGACCACAGCACTGCAGGCAAGAATAAGTCGACAAGACAGTTTTCACATCCTCAACAGTGCTTGGCAGGTCCCAGTACGAGATTCATGGCAGTCTTCCCAGCATATCGTGCTTTGATATTAATAATCTGCCCTAGAAGCTGGCGATCGCTACGCTGCGTATGTCAACCAGCCCACCAAAGCTTCTCTTTCGACCAGTACCAAGACAAAAAAAAGATCCACAAACAAACATTCACTAATCCGCCGCCCAACACAGCGCCGGCGACGAGAATGGCTTGTTGTCGTCAGCTTTTGTGCGTTTTGAGGTATTCTTTAGGTCTGGCTGCCAGATGCTGCCAGGTATTGCTGTCGTCACAAAACCATTTCATGACACCCTCAAACAATGACGTAATGGGATGCATTTTACAAATTTTGAAATTTTGCTTCTTAGGGGGGTGTTTGGTGCCCTCAACCTCCAGAGCAAGGGCAATGATGGCCTGGGTCGCAGCTTTCGTGAAGCCGAACGGCTGCGGCCACTGCAAGTGCCGCCAGACGGTGGACGCTGTGTCAATCTATCTTCAGGACAGAGTAATAATTACAGAAACACGAAATATGCAGGTTCTACCTTTGCTCTTCCAGTTCAACCACCAAATTCCGACCTCACTTCGCGGTGCTTCAGGGAACAATCCGCTTTTATTATCAGTCTTGAAATCGTATACGTGCAATAAACGCCTAGACTGCCTTCCACATGTGAGATTTGATGTCATGAAGCGTTCAAAGATGCCTTTTTCAGAAGCGTCATCATTTCCCCCCGCCCACTGACCTCGGCTCAATATTAACGGTTGGACCGACGCCGCGCAGCCTATGGAGACTGCAACGCCTGGCGTCGAGGTTTTATTTCCAAGATTTGCGAGCGCGCATGCCCAAAATAACATGACAAAACTTGTTTTACTAGTCGATTGAAGTGTTTCTAGGTATTGTTTTCAGAAGCATCATCAGTTTCGCTCATCTGTGAGCCACGTCGAAAAATTAGCCACTGAGTTAACGCTTCACAGACAATGGAAACTGCAGCTCCCTGGTGTCGGCTCTCGTTGCTACGATTTGCGAGTTAAAAAAGCACGTTATATAAATTGTATCACTAATCGGTTCTGACTGACTTTTAAACATTTCCAGACGAACATGGTTTGGCTATGTCAATACATACTGCTGACTACTCGATCTGCAATCAAATTTTCATCTTCACATTTTGATAAAACATATTAAGTCACAGTCTACCTTCACAATGTCCTCAATTTCTGTAGAACCCAGATAGAAAAATTCTGAAAAAGCTTCTGAATCCTCTGAAAAAGTTTAGAAAGTCCGCTGAACCACTATAAGTTTAAGGCGACGGTGCTTTATTCCATGCGGTCGTTCAACACGTAATTTCTGTAGTTTATTAACTTCAAAATGCAAACAGAATCGATATCACGGTACCTTCTGGTGTCTGTCCTGGTTACGTGGTAAAAGTAGCAATAATACAAAGAAAACCGCTTCCCTTGTTGACAAGTGGTCTACATCTGGAGATTTTTTTTGGGGGGGGACAAAAAACAACAGGGGGTTTCGTCAATTTTATGTTTTCCTTTGAAAAGGTTCTGGCTACGCCCCTCCCTACACACAAAAGCAGACCAGGTCGTCTACGTTGAATGATGGGCAATTAAATGTCTGTGGGGCCAATTCGCGCCTAAGGCAGGCAGGTTCCCCGAGTCTATTTTTCTGCAGTGGTATGGTGTAAGGTAAGATAAAAGTAGTGTGGTTTAAGGGAAGATACTGTTGCAGGTGTCCAACATATGGTTCACGCACCAATTAGTAGTGACCCTGATCCAGAAATATGCAACAAAGCAGCCATACGATCAGTTCGCAATCAGTCATACAGGAGACAGCCGGGCCAGGGCAGTGGTTGCCGACGGCGGGCGGGAGCAAGGCCTATATAAGGGATATATGACAGACGGACTTTCTTTAGGTGGCTTGGATTGGTGAATTTCCTGCTTTTTGGCTTTTTTCACATTGTTTTTGTCAATTCTAAGCCTCCGAATTTGTTTCCCTCTAAAATGCTGCTACAACTCTTATCTTTTGAAAAACAGCCAGCGAAACGAAGGCGCATTAAAAATCTGTCGCACTGTTAGCCATCAATTAATTTTCAAATTTCCCACTAGTCTCTGTCCAGGTCGTATTTGGGCATCAGCCCTGTGGAGGCAGATGCCTCCTTAATGACCCAAAATGCCTACCCGTTCTCGGAATTTCGCCTCCCCAGGAAAGACAATGTCAAAATTGATGAATAACCTTAGGAGGCGGGATACCTTTAGTTGCCGAATGACATAGATGAGTCGAATAGGCAAGATTTTGTACCAGTGAGAAACAGCCCTAGATGCATATATAGCATAGCAGCCATGACATTCGAGTAAATAGCGATAACAACCTCTATCTCTACCCCCACCCCACCCCCACTCCGGCTATCGGGCTTGCTTTCCAAAAAAAGTTACTGAAGTACATCTTGAGCTTGCCCCACCCTTTTTGAAACGTTCGTGCGCCTATAAGCAGGCCTGTTGTGTGTAAACATGTACGGCTACGTTGCATTATGTTTGCAAGTCCCAAAGGGGAGATTGAGAGTAACAAATGTACACCATGTAACTCTTCTCATTCTGCAAGGCGCTCCAACATTGCGTCTACGTGGATAGTGCACTTTACTTTGTGTTGGCAAAAGGCCGCATTCCTGTCTGATGCCGCAGAGCGCGCTGGCGCGGCGAGCCTGTGTGTCAGAGCGCGACACCTAGCGACGGGCAGTGTGAAACGGCGCTGCGATGGGGAATCTGGTTTATTCACGTCTCGTGGTGAGGCCGACATCGCTGCAGTACACGCGCCACGTCGGCTGGAGTGACGCAGGGCTGAGCATGCACTGATGCAGGTGGCTGATCAGGCACGCACATCATGCTGACGGAGAATAGAAGCAGGCACTCCGCAAGTAATCACACAAACCAGCGGACAAAACCATTTCCAAGGAACGGGAGGTAGTGGGCAGTGAATAACAATATTGGTTGGCGTTCTTGGACCACATACATGTGGCGTGACTAAATCGTTAGCAACATCAACGTCGGCCCGGTATATCCCGAAAAAACAGATTATACAACGATGGGTGAAAAACAGCACCACTACGGCAATGTACGCCATTGCCCTTTGGCACCGACAATGAACAGCTACGTTTTTTAATCACTACCTTTCAACTCTTATATGTCACAATGATAAAGAAAAGAGCCTGGTTCTCATAAAATACCATCCTGAACGATTTGCATGATCTGAATTCTCAACTGGCCTCCTCAGTCGTCTCGTTAATTGCATAATGCCCTATCAGTAATACCCGTACACAAAAAAAAAACACCAAAACTCCACAACCACCAGACACCTTTCAGCTATATTATTCCAACAACATAATGTTGCGGTATAAAATTAATGTCCCAGCATCTAACCCGACCATCCGAAGAGCTCCCAACCAGACCTCGCCCACGTGAAACGAACTGGCTCCCCTATTCCATCCAGTTGAGCGCCATCTCCCGCTATCTCCCATCTCCCGCTTCGTTACCCACTGTCCCAAAGCTGCGCAGCACAATCGCTGTCGTCGCGGGCCGAGATCAAGGCGGCACTGGCTTCCGCGCCATCAGCAGGAAGTAGAAGTACCGGACGGTGATAGCGATAGCGCTAGTATCGACCTCCGGGTCGCCGTTGGAGAGCACTGCATGTAACCTGAGGCAATATCGTGTGATTTACTTTTTCTCACACGATTTCGGCGCATGTCGATGGCACACGTAGACGGCACACGTCGATGGTACACATCGGTGGTACACGTCGATGGCACACGTCGACGGCATACGTCGATGGTACACATCGGTGGTACACGTCGATGGCACACGTCGATGGCACACGTCGATGGTACACAAAGTGTTACAAAATCGCGTCCTGAAATTTCAAACATGGTGTAAAGAATAGGGCGGTCTCACCGCGACATATTCTGTCAGCACCATCTGTCACAGCTTCGAACTCGTCAACGGCAGACATGTTTTGCATCCAGACGTGCACAATTTGCTGCGAATTGATGCCCCCAGCAATATGGAATATGATTACGCTGGTCCAATGCACGTTTCTGCCAACAGCCTTACGTCAGAAATCTGTCCCTGATACAATACGGCAGGATCGCACACACACCAGAAGTCACAAAGCGGTACCAGGTACCGATCGGCCTGACGCTCAGGTGGCGTGCCGGACCGTCCCGCCGGCCGCCAGCCACTCACCGCTCCCGGGTCTGCCGCAGCAGGGCCTCGCCCCGCTCGGCGCCGCAGCGGTCCACATGGTCCTGGAAGCCGGACCAGGTGCTGATGCCGCCTAGCAGGCCGTCTAGGGTCAGCGTCCGCTCCTGGTAGTGGCTCTCGTCCCTGCGGGGCCGCGGGCGGCGTCCGTCACCCGTGCGGGGCGGTGTCACGGCGGCAAAGGGTGGGGTCATAGAGCCGGCCAGACGTGGGGCACTGACCCGAGTGACCTCAGACAGGACGTGGACAGTGTCGGGAGAAGTCACACGGGCGGGGTGGTGGAATGATGAAACTGGACAGAAGTGACGATAGAAGAGAGAATCGCCACTTGAGCAGATTTTATTGCCATTGTTGTCATTGGGGCTTTACGACGCGCCCAGCTGCTGTGGGTAGGTGGCGTCGCCTGCCTCTCAACCTGACAGGAAGGGCGCAGGGAACCGCAGGAAATTCAGCCCCGTATTTCTGGCTTCCTAGGCGTGCAGCTGAACCACTTCACTAGCTTCGCCCTTGCATAGACTTTCAAAGCGGGCTAATGCGCGATATGTCTTGGCTGTTTTTTCCCGCAACCTTGTTTACGGCCCAGAAAATTACGACACAGTGGAGGAGGGGTATTGATAGTGCATTTGTAAATTTACGCGTTGAGGGAACTGAAGGTACGGGGTTTGCTTCCCCGCTGTGCACTAGGGTGGGCCCTTTTTGCAACTTATTTTTTCATCAATGGCTGTAGGTCAAATTCTGATTCGTCGACACATGGCGATCACGAATCAAGCCGTGCAAACACATTTTGAGAAGTTTTCGTGATGGCGAAGCCGAAAAGTTTGCGGAGCGAAACATCGATTTTTCTGCCAAATTGGTTAAATCCGTCACAAATTGGAAATGAAAAAAATTATGTGCCGATCAAGTCGCTTATTGTCTACAAAATGGCACCGCTGAAACCAGTCTGTGTCTTTTATTTTCACTGTGCACGAACAAACGTTTCAAAGCTTGATGCTTAGTGCCCCGGACCGATCATAGATGGCGCTAGTGGTGGCCGCCCTCGACGCCCGCTAGGCGGAGCTCTGTCCCGCAGGGGCCTTCTGGAGTTTAGGTCAGAGCGTAGCCACTCACTGCACCCCCCCTCCAACGCACCACTCGCCCCCCCCCCCCTCCCCCCCCCCCCGCCCCGCCCCCGCCTCTCTCAAGGCCCCATTCTGGCCTAACCTGCCTGAGTGCCTGACTTAGGCAGCTGCTGTTTCTGTATGCGGCGCTTAGCAAGGATATTCAACGCCTTGCCGTCCCGCCTGTCTGCCCCCAACACCGTCGCCGCCGCCTCGGTCGTCAGTTTGATGGCTCTCTCGGTTGACTGTGTGTGGCAGGGGACGCCTGTGCTAAGGTGAATGTCTACAAGAGCGGCCAGCTGCACCGATGTGAGCCCAAGCGTACAGGGTGGCTCGATGGGCAGCTTCCCGCTTCTGATGGTCTCCATCGTCGTGTTCAGCTCCATGTAGCTGTGAATATTACTTGCATTGAACGGCCAGATATGGCGTTGGGGTCCAAGGCGTTGCTAGGGGCAACGACATTTAAACAAAGCCTTGTGAGGCTTGTATGGTCTTGCTTGGGGGTTGTGTCCATGTCGTGTATGTTTTTTTCTTTGTTTCTGTTTACTCTGGGTATTTTTTTATTTTTGAATCTTTTTGGTAATTAATATGGGTGCTCGTCGGCGTGACGCACAGCCGCATAAAGCTTTTAATGTAGTGCCGTGTGACCCGCCCAACGGCAAGTTTCCAGATGTCGCGATGTTATCGGACGATTGCTTAAGATCAAAGCACAACAAAATTACGGAGCTAAGCAAGGGTAAGAACAGATATCAGTCAAGGAAATAGTAACAGAAGAGGCGAATGAGACGATTGCCGTTTGGGAGCGGGCACCCATTCCCACTAAGGACATGAACCGTGCGAGTTATCTAATCAACAAGCTGTGGAAGGAGACGGTGTCGGCTCGAAAGACGAAGGTGTCCAGCGGCCGCCAGTCAGCTGAGCGGCTTCAGGCACGGCTTGAAACGCTATTCGATATCGCGTCAGCCGCCAGAGTGCCGGAGCATCCGGGGGACGCCGCGTTCCTGATGGACCAGAGGTCTACACGCCGCATGTCCATTGGTCCCATGGACGCGGCCACCACCCAGCGCTGGCGTCGGCGGGTGGCCCGGCAGGCTGGAGAGCTGGCAGCGCGCCCAACGTCACAGGCCACCAAGGCAAACCCACAGCCAAGCCCTGCAGTCTGTGGGCCACGAGCTGCCGCCCAAGCAGCCGCACAAGCTATAAGGTCGGCCGCCATGAATCCAGAAATAGAGGAAAATGTTGCTGGCAACAGCGACGGCGCCCCCTATGCCGCTGACAGCGACGGCGCCGCCGGTGCTGGCAACGCTTTTGTCGGCAATGCCGTTGCCGATTCTTCCGATGCCAGCTGTAACGTCACTGACAATACCCCAGTCGCCATCGTTACCAGTGCCGAAGTTGCTGCCTGTCACGCGGCTGCCAGTACTGCGATCACGGATGACCCAGATTACGTTCCCCCACGGCCGCGGGGCACTCGAAAAATTGACTCGCGTCCGTTGGCTGAGGCGGCAGATGCAGCCGGGTTAGGCACAGTCAAAAACAGTCAAGCGTATGTCCGCGAAGTAAATGTCATAAGTTACAAGAAAAAAGCTTCGTCTGGCCGTCGAGAAAACCCGCAAGGAGAAAATATTTGCCATCGCCCTGAACGCCGCTGACTGCACCGCAGTTTTTTGTGACGGTCGCAACGACCCGACCTTGTCCCAGCTACAGCAAGGCACCAGCATATTGGTCACAATCACCTACCCACAAACGTTTCCGTCAACATGCACCCCGGTGACCAGTATATCGGTCACTTTGAGTGTGAGGGCCCTCACACGGGCGAACACGTCGCTCAGCAGCTGCTACATCTACTGACCGAAAGGGGCATTAACATCGACCAAGTCACCACCGTGGGCGGCGACGGCACCAACCAGGTGGTCGGAAGCAAGAGGGTTGGATGGCCCAGGTAAAGGCAAAGCTCGGCCGGCCCCTGGCCCGTGTGGTGTGTCTGCGTCCTTGACGGCAAGACCACTGGCCACGGCACATTCGAGGGGCCGATCGGCAAAGAGTTCCGCGGCCCCGTCCACAACCTGCCGGTGGCCGACTTCCCAGTAGTTGAATGCGACGACTGGATCGAGCTTCCCACCGCCGTCGAGCGTGAGCTCAGCACCGACGTCACACTCCCCTACAAGTGCGCCAAGAACGTGACAGTGGGCGACGCGAGCTCGGTGCGCCACTTGACGCACGACAAGGTGCACCATGCGCGTTGGTACACGGCCCAGAGCCGGCTACTGCGCCTGTACATGGCCACCAACAGTCCGACGCCGCAGCTGGCAGCGCTGGCCCGGTATGTGGTGTGCTTCTACGTGCCCATGGTGGTGCAGGTCAAGCACTAGTCGGACGCAGTGCACGCTGTACGGCACCTCACCGAGCAGGTGCGGCGCCAGCGAGCCCACTTCAGCGGCGACCTCCTGCGGGTGGTTCAACGGAGCGTCACCGACAACGCGCTGATGGCCCACCCGGAGAGCATCATGCTGGGGATGCTGTCCGATCCCAGCAGGGAGGTGTGAGTTGAAGCCGTTAGGTTCATCTTCTTCAAGACCCGCGAGACCCCGCCGACGGGCGAGGTTCGCCGATACGCCGTGCCGCGGGGCGAAGTCAACGTGAACGCCAACAGCTACATGGAGCTGAGCACGAGAATGGAGACCATCAGAAGCGGGAAGCTACCCATCGAGCCACCCTGTACGCTTGGGCTCACATCGGTGCAGCTGGCCGCTCTTGTAGACACTCCCCTTAGCACAGGTGTCCCCTGCCACACACAGTCAACCGAGAGAGCCGTCAAACTGACGATCGAGGCGTTGGCGACGGTGGTGGGGCAGACAGGCAGGACGGCAAGGCGCTGAACATCCTTGCTAAGCGCCGCATGCAGAAACAGCAGCTGCCTAAGTCAGGCACTTAGGCAGGTTAGGCCAGAATGGGGCCTTGAGAGAGGCGGGGGCGGGGGGGAGGGGGGGGGGGCGAGTGGTGGGTCGGAGGGAGGTGCAGTGAGTGGCTGCGCTCTGTCCTAAACTCCAGAAGGCCCCTGCGGGACAGAGCGCCGCCTAGCGGGCGTCGAGGGCGGCCACCACTAGCGCCATCTAAGATCGGTCCGAGGCACTAAGGATCGAGCTTTGAAACGTTTGTTCGTGCATGGTGAAGATAAAAAGACACAGACTGGTTCCAGTGGGGCCATTTTGTAGACAATAAATGATTTAATCGGCACATATTTTCTATAATTTTTCATTTCTAATTTCTAACGGATTTAACCAATTTGGCAAAAAAATCGGTGTTTCGCTCCGCAAACTTTTCGGCTTCGCCACCACGAGGACTTCTCAAAACGTGTTTTCATGGTTTGATTCGTGATCACCATGTGTCGACACATCAGAATTTGACCTATACCCATTTATAAAAAATAAGCTGCAAAAAGGGCCCACCCTACTGTGCACGCTCTTTCTGCCATAGTGAAAAGCAGGTGATGCCATAAATAGCTTGGGACGTCATACATAGCATATATGATGCATAGCATACATACATACAAAGCCCCGTCAGCTGAGTGCGTTGGAAAGCCCCAAAGGCACATGAAAAGTGCTCAACCGCAACACCACTTCTGGTTAGAAGGTATCTAGAAGGTACGAACGCTTGAAGGCTAGAGGGCATGCGGAGAGAAGAGAACATTAGCAGAGAGCGGGACGGTGCTGACCACAGGGTTTGCAGTATGTTGTTCTGTCCTGGACAGACAGAAAATGACAGCGTCCTTGATATGATACCTGATATCTGATATCTTGAAATGACCTGATATCTGAGTGGCATTGCGACGCTTCCACATTTCCACACACTTTGACACCATTTCACATAAGACAGCACTGCCCCGGCCCGGCGGCGCCTGGTTCGTGCTGGCGCCTCGTCTCACGATGCGTCTCGCCGACCCTCAGACGGTGCTGTTCTCTGGCGGCGCAGCCGAGACCCACCTGACCTCGCCCGGGAAGGGAAGCCGGAAGCGTGGGTCGCTGTACCGGTCCTCCACGTCCTTCAGGATGTGGGTCCAGAAGCCGGCCAGGGCCACCTGAGCCTGTTGAATACAGCACAGCACGGTCGGCCGCCTTCCAGGACGAGATGACTCGTTCGTGGTCTCTCTTTTCGGGTTTCGCACAGCACACTCGCTGGAGGATTGCAACCCTCGCTTTTAAGCCAAGGCCATTCTAGGGGTCAGAGCAATTCCCTGTACTGCGCACCCGAGGAACCAGCCGGTTCGTGGTTGTCTCCAAATCTAAGACCAACAGCGCCAAGCTCGCCGGCCTCCGCACCCACCTGCACTATGACATCATTGAGCTCGGTCCAGAGCGCGCCGTCGCGGTACGGTTCGGGGAAGCCGTACCCATACAGAGCGAGCACGCCTCCTGGCACCAGCACGCGGTCCGCCTCCGCGAAGAAACGGGGCAGCTCGAAGAAATGGCAGCACTGGCAGGCGGTGACCAGCTGCACGGACTCGGCCGGCGCCGGGATCTCCTCGGCAGGATATACCCTGAGAGAGAGGGAGAGAGAGAGAGAGAGGGAAAGAGGGAGGGAGAGAGAGGGAGGGAGAGAGAGAGAGAGAGAGGGGAGATGAAACAGAGATGCCATGACGTCACGGAGCGAGGCAGAACAGAGACCACCTGGCAGTGTGGAACAGGCTGAACAGTGGCCCACCCCCGAAAAAATGGTAGGTCCCTGGTCCTTGATAGTGGGCAGCGGGTAACAACGACAGCGCTTCGGCGGTGGGAACTTAATGATCCGCTATTCAATTGTCTACAGCTGTGCAACATTTGGCGCGGCTACTCCACGTCTTTCGGAAACCACTCTGGAAAAACCTTCGGCGGGGAGGGGTGAATTTGACCCCCACCCGAGAGCGTGTTAAGAATAGCGCCATAACCGAGTTTTGTGAATGCAAATGAAAACTATAAAGTCACTGATCGATATGCCAGAACCCCACAAGAAAGACAGAAAACATGTACACTGAACGATATTTGAATTCTGGAAACGCCGCACCTCTCGGCAGGATACCTATCGAGAGGATGAAATGCTACCAGTGAGCCAGCCCTACCAGTGAGCCAGCCCTACCGGTAGCGTGTCGATCTCCCATGGTCAGACTGGCAGTCCCTCAGTCGCCGTACAAATGCTCCATGACGCAATAAAACGATGACGTTTAAGGGGCACGTTTGATACATGGTGGACTTGCGTTGTCTAGAGCAGTCTTTTCACTTCAAGATACCATTGGATACACGCGGACATATTTCATCATATCGGACACTTACCTGGATATCTCCTAATGTGGGACATTCCCTTTAAAGGACATTGGCGTCCAGCCATCGTCGAACAACGAGCCTAGACTCTTTTGGACACAGCGTTGGAATGCGAGGTAACGCAGCACCCTCGGAACACCTCAGCGAAGTTTCCCTTGGGTCTGTCCATCTCACCGGTACTCGATATTTGTGATGGTGTTATTCGCGGTGGCCTCCTTGATCTGCTCTGGGCTGACGTCCGTGGCTAGCATGGAACGGAAATGGGGTGCCAGGCAGCGGGTGTTCTGTCCATTGCCGCAGCCGACATCAAGTGCACGATCCAGCGGCAGCTTCTCCTGTGGATATTCCAGGCCAGTGGGGTGCCTTCCAACCAGCGCATATCTGGTGTTCGACAAGCAATGTGCACGTGCACAAACAACGCGCATGCACAAAGGTTAAGGGAAAATTAATGATTCGGGAACTCTTGGGCTGATGAGCACGCTTCTTTCAGTCATACACTCGATAAGGACATAATAATGCATGGTTGCATACCCTCAGAATTGGAACAGGTGATGTTATTCTACAACCCATATTACACGAACGCAAGTCGTAAGTTTGACCACAAGCGCATCAATTGAATTTCTTAATATCTGCACTGTTTGATTGTAAGCGTGTGCACAGATCCATGACATTTTCAGGGAATACGAGTATGTCGTGTCAAACCTAAATGCACTGCTTCACAACCAAGTGAGGTGACTGAAATTAATATCATGCACAGCCAATGTTAGAGTTTTCTCAATAACAAATATCGAATCAACTATAGCCTGGTCACGTATCCAGCACATAGCCTTACCTTGACAGCTTGCACAACAGCGTTAATGAGAGATGCTGGCGGGTTCGGCCGGAACTCTGCATACAGCTTTGCATGCGAGGATGCCTCAAACAGCCGAAGCATGGCGCGGATACTGTGAACTGAAAACACATCCAAGAAAACGCAATATTATACATGGCGTGACAGCATAGCGTGTTTTTGCTATATCACGCCACATCATCCTTGTAAGAATGTCATCAGAGGCATGGTTGTCATCTTGTGAGGCGCTCTCCGGCGAACGGTGCCGCACGAGGGGGCAGGGGGGGGGGGGGGCGGCGGAGCCGATTTGAGCATTTCGATAGCCTTTCCCTCGGTTGCATCCATACACATCGACTCAGCTATTGTCTATGGCAGCTGTATTACTGTTGTTGAGCGCAACATGCCACTGCCCACGGTAGGCGAGTAAATATAAGTCGGCTTCTGTGGTAAGGTTTAAAAAGTTATAGGCTATATCATCACTCCAAACTGCCTTAACTGTTTGAAGACCTGTAGGTTCGTGTCAGAGATTCGTGGTGGAATCAAAATGATAATGTAAAACATATTCTGAGACACGAATCACTATTTGTTCCATATTTTTCAAAAAACATGGTAAAACTATTGAGGTGTTGGGAGTTGCAGATCAAATTAAAAATATTAATATTTTAGGTAACGGGTCACATTACATGTTGTCCGGTGAGAAACCGGTCGCTTTCGTCATTGCATACAATCTTCGTCACCTTATCAATATTTTTGAAAACCATAGCTCCTTAGCTATTAGTTAGATGCTGATTATTATCGACTGTCTGTTGTGAATCTTTTGTATCGGTATTCTGTGCTTATCTTCACCAATATTGGAGCATAACATCGCAATGTTTAAAAGAGACGTTTCTTCGAGAAGCAACAGCCCCCTTACACAGGGTTTTTCAGCATTTGGAAAGAGCGTCGGACGCCTGTTGAAAACAGGTTACGTCATGAGAAAAGCGTGACGTATAATGCATACCTTTTCGAGGCTGCTCAAACTGAAATTCAAGGAGCTTGCTCGTCGTAGTGTATGGTGCAATCGGTGCAATTCAAGCCGAAATGGCCGCTTAAATCACGTTAATATCCAGGCATGCAATAAAAATGTCATAGATAAGCCCGCTAACCACCTGCAATTGTGATGGAAGTAGGCCGGATTGGCATTCAAACAGGCCGTCTAACTAACTTGCACCATATCACTTAACGTACTGCACAGTGTGACCAGAGGAGAGATGTGAGAAAAAAGTAACTATTGTCTCAATGGCAATAGCTGTCGAGAAGTGCGATACATTCAACAACAGTACAACGCAGCCAGGCGCGCGGTTCACAGTCCGGAGCTATAGACTCGCGCCCTACACGCGTGAAGAGACCTAGCTAAGCAGCCCTTGTGACAGCGACATGAGCCAGCTGCACAGATGCCCGCCCTGCGCTCGTGATGTCATACGAGCACATTCGTCTGGTCTGGTACCCATACCCTGTGGTATGCATCCAAGGGATACGAATTCTTGCTGCGAATTTTCATTAATAAGCGTTCAACCCCTTACACTACTGACCGTATGAGAACTGCGGATGAAGTAAAGTTGTTGTCCAGAATATCCACAGATGTTCAATAAAGGCCAGAAGGGCTGCAGTTGTTAGGACGGAAATCTCTCAAGGATGTGATGGAGTAAGTTGATGTAAAGTGCAGCTGATGGTTCATCTTCGTAGGAACCCAATACATTAAAACAGATTGAGATCTTGCGAATCACCGAATCTTGGAAATAGGAAGTCAGATACGAAAAACCAGGATTCGAATCCTCAAAAGCACAACCGGATCTTAAAACCCATCATCTGAATGTGTAAATATGCGTTTAAATATCTCTCAACATAGGCTATATCCAAACACACTAGATTGCATGCGAAATTATCTTCAAAAATGTTTCGCGTCGCATGTGCATAACATGCAAATTTTTTGTCACTTCAGGCCTGACCATTTCTGGTGTTGCAAGGAGGAGGGGGGATCTCGTGCCCTTGTTTCTTCTCCAAGGGGTATGTACCAAGACCCTCGAATACGAGCGTGTTGAAACCCACTTCCAGCGAGTGCAAGATGGCCAATGGGGCTACCCACCATCGTATAAAATAGATATTCATGTATCGAAACTTTCCACGCAACGATTTTATGTCTGACACATTCATAAACCTATCTATAGGTCAGATACTGTATTATGTATGTTGCGCACAAACTAGTTTTTAGGGGAACGCGTACGGCATCGTGCTGGCTACCTACCCTGTCTGCCTTGTCATACACTTTGCCATAGACTCCTCCATTGCTGATGGTAAGGAGAAGTATATGAATCGTCCCATGCCTAAAAAAAAACTTTTCGAAACGTACACAGTCTGGCACCAATGTCTCTCTCTATTCTTTTTGGCCAAATTAGAAATATACAATAAGCCGAAGCATTGATGACTGAGCAAAGGTAGCCAGAAGCCACTAACGTAGACGTGGGCTTATGGGTTCTAGAGGATTGAGGTCTGATAATTCCGATGAAAATAATCAAATGCATTAATCAAATCAGGTAATCAAATGTCGATCTACCCGCTGTGGGATTCAAACATCAAATTCCAACAAATCCTCACCTGTAATTTCCAGCCTTTTATGAAAACGGTATGATTCTGAAATGCATAGACACTGGTACCTTAGCGTAGGAACCGCAATTCAATGATTGGACGGCAAACAATACAACGCCACCTTGTAAAGGTGGATAAAAATACCACCTTGGAAGGGATTTGGGAGGCAGAAATTAGGCTTCGGAAACATTTTAAAGGTTAACGATTTAAGGGGTTAACTTTTACTTCTGTTAACATCATTAGCGATTTCACAGACTCTTTAAACTGAGTTAACCCACACGATTAATGACTTACATTAAGCGGAGTTAAATCTTTTTATTAACTCCACCCATCTCTGCATATATGCTAGTGAGCGTGCTTTTAAAGATAAAGTGCCAACAATTTTTTATCGCAGCCCACACTGAGCAGTGCGTTTGTACAAGCCTTGATCCCACTATGTAATCGCGGAATGCCTAGTCAACAGCATAATTTTTCGGAGAAAGTTGATTGCGCCCTCATGCTTACCATGGTCCGCCTTGTCTTGCATGACTCCCCCTGACCTTAAACGCAACTGCTACCACCTGGCGCAGGCCATCCCAAGCAGGGGCGAACAGCGAACGGTTAAAACGACTCTAACCCACCCACCTCACCACGTGGGATTGACTCCAAATCAAATCCAAACAGCCGGTCTAACCAACTGAGCTGCCAGTATTTACCCGTGTATGTACCACAAATGTATGCAAATATCCGTCCGCGTCTCACCATGTACATGCTGTGGACTATTTCCATTGGTACCTTATCAGTGTAGGCATTAATAAGCATGACGCTTATCACAGCGCAGCTGCTGAGCTGTTGATTATGTCTGGCAAGTCGTGTGCCAGTAGATATTTGTTGTGCTACACAATATCATTTACTAGTGAAATTGACCGGGTTTGCGTGCGATTTGGGCACAACTTACGTTTTCTTATGATCTTAGCAGTATCAATTATAAGAATATTGTGATCTAGAGGCTCGTAAACTTTGCGAAATTTGCGATCGATACCCGCTTCAGTCATGCGGGCTTCTTTAAACGCGTCGTGCAGGTCTGGGTGGTCAAGCAGTGATTCCAGTTCCTCCCACCGTCCCCGCGCTTCCCGGCGGTGCATGCGACAGCAGCTCCCGCCTGGTGGGCGTTATCAATGTTTTAGATCTGGGCAGCTAGATAGATGATAATGCGAATGTTATGCTACAACATGCAGCAAGAAAATTTGGTCCACACTTCATTACGAGACAACTGAGTTTTGCTCACCCAGTGGATGCACGAATGCTAAGCGAGGTGCTAACAATATTATAAATTAGCAACCTTTTCTCATGCATTGGTGGTCATGACTAAGTGATCAAGCAAAACCAGCTGTTCTGAGCACCCATTCACGTGCTCTAAGCACCCCTTTTACCAAAATCCGAAAATGACATTCACAAACTTTTAAATTTTACAGCACGTACATTCTAATCCCGAAAACCTGTGTCAAATCACCAGTTACCATGAGTTTGTGCTGGCCGGATAGCGATTTCAGTCTGTAAGCAAATTTGTGAAATTCGTCTACTCCCACTGATCGGTAACTGTTGTTCCACATCTTGCAATAGTAGAAGCACTAAATAGCTGGTGCAGACCTCATAACAGGCTTTTACAAGGTACAGGCGAACAGGAAATCTTTGACCACAAAAAGACCACAGCCTAACCGTTCGCCCCTGGAAAAGGCAAATGCTGGCAGGCCAAAGGTCAACGGGCAGCCACACTCGCCACACTATTCACCGCTAGCCACACTGCCATCTGGCTAACATGGCGAGGCATTGAACTCTGTTGATCTGCTGTTATGTTTTCGTAGCCGATCATACAAAACCAGAGACGAGCGGCTATTGGAGCACTGGGTTCACGGGTCACGAAATCCCAGAAGATCCCAAAGTAAGGTGTTTGTTTAAATTTTGCATCAAGGTTGGCGTCCAGCGGAATACGACTCAGTTGTCTTGTGTGGCCGTGCCGTAGCATTTTCGATGAGCAAACGAAACTCAGAGCAGGCCGTAGTGACACGCATTGGCCCGGCACATGAGCTTACCCCAAATCGGTGAAGAGAATTCGTTGCCGCCGCTGCACCAGTCCGCCGTGTGCGCAAACCGCGCGCAGCCGTCCCAGTGTTTGTGTATAGAGACTGGGAGCTCTAGTGTCCAGCGTCACGTGAGTGGCCGACGTCACATATGACACATGGCGCTAACAGACTGGACGGGGGGGGGGAGGGGCACTGTCGGTCAGGAGCTGCTGGTCTTATCACGGTCGCAGTCAGGGCCAGCAGCGGATAGCGACGTACCGTCAGAAAATGGCGTTGCGCTGCGTTTGACCCCAAAGGAACTAGCTTCGGCCGGTGTGGGGAAGTACCGCCCCCTCGGGTTCTGTAACGGATGGAGGCTCAAGCTGCTAATTTCAGGGCCTAGTTCACGAGATCACAGCCCTCTCGGTACGTAAGCTGGGGGGGGGGGGGGGCGGAGGGCACCATGCAGACCACGTCTTGTCGCCTGTGCTGCATGCCGGGTGCCTTCGTGGACCTCGGCGTGGGGTGTCCGGCTGCCCGCAGCGGCTTACGACCAGAGTCACTCACGAGCGTTGTATGCCGATAAGGCCGAGCATTCGTCGCCCGTTCCAGCACCATTGATTAGATGACCGTTCCGCTGTTAGCTGCAGTTCTGTAGTCGTTCGGCCTCTCAGTTGTACCGGCTTACCAGGCACTGGACTCACATCCGGGTGTTCCCACTCCCCCATACCCACTCATTGTCCCCCATTCATCGGCGAGACAGCGAGCGGAAGCCATCTACCGACCCCCCCCCCCCCCCCCCCCTCCCCCGTGGGGATACAAGCGGCGGCGGCTGACGGCGGGTGGACGGCGACTCGGCCGGCCGACCAGGGTACTCCAGCGCCGGCAGCTTGACCTCCGTCTGTCAGTCCAGCGGGTAAAATGGTATTGGCCAGCGCACGTCCCCGAACATCTGAGACCCTGAAACGTCACGAGGCTTTGAGACAAAACGGGTGCTACTGGTGGACCAGGAGCGTGCTTGGCCAACCGGCTGTCAGGAACACAACAGAGGACCGTTCTTACATTGGTAGGCCATTCCGCCGCTCCGAAGTATGCGAGGAAGCTCACGAGATTGGTTGGTGTGGGACAGGCGAATATGTCTCGCGGGCTGGTACGTACAATGTCCCGCGGGGCGTACGAAACGGTCATTCAGTGCCATCAGGGCATCATCATACAAATTGCCATCATGCAACATACCACTTATGATATGCTGTGCAAGACCCGACACTGCAGCCTGCAGGTGAACCATCCTCTCGGTCAAGGTAAGGTAGGATTGATCGTGAACAAGCGTTTTGAACAGAGCAAGCCACTTTGGCCACTCTGCTGGTTCCCCACCAAACTTGGGCGAGGACAGACGAGGGATGTTGTGCTGGAACGTGGACGCGCAAGGGAGTCCACCTTGGGGCCCCCTGCTCACATGCAATGAGCTACCGACTGGGCCACGTGATAGAACACTGGCCAGAGTTGGGCGGTCTGGATGCAGGTCAAGGTGGGCCCCTTGGGTCCGCCGATCAACAGGCACCGAAGCACCAACGGAGGTCAGAAGCTGAGGTCCGTTTGAACTTCTCCCCTGCTCACCTAGATCAGGATGAGCCCCTTGGGCTTCCCGATTAACAAGTTCCCCAGTGAAGTCGTCCTTTTTGTCCTAGCTCAGTTGATCTTCAGCAGCCTTAGTAAGCTGTGCGCGTAGCTCAGCTGCGGCTTGGGCGTCTCTCGCTTCTTGCAACTTGCGCTGTCTCTGCATTCTCGCTCCTCCTTTCCTTGGGCTAGTCGACGCTCCAGCTGAGCCGTCTCCAGCTGCTTCACTCTGAATTGTATGCCAGCTTCTCGGGGGGCTGATGACCTTGCAGACGCTTGAGATAGCTGATGCGATGCAGCTGACGAAGGATCATTATTTTGCTCTGTCAGGTATGTCTCAATGCCGCCTATAGCCTATCTGTGCTGCTTCTCTGCATCTTCAAAGTACTGCTTGGCTTGGGCCTTGTCTTCTTCGGAAGTGAGCGCGGCAATAAGCTCATCATTAAGCTCCTCCAGCTTTTCTAAAGCGTGATCAAGTTCAGAACTAATGGAAATTAGCTGCGTTCTTCTATCTCTACCGTCAATCAGCACGGGCGCTCTTCTACGAACTCTTGTCAGGACACTGAGCAGCCTACCACGTTTCTGTTTCAGCTCCGCAACCGACGTTGTGGCCAGAAGACAAGCAATTAGAAGAGTGCGGAAACAATGGTAAGAACGTAATAGTAGTGCACTTCACCATCAAACTTCAACGTCAACATCGTGCGGTTCAGGAATGTTTTGTTCAACACAGAAGCATGTAGACTAACTGAACCGCGCTGCTGCACCGTGAGCCCCCACCAAGCTCCTGTGACGGACTGTTGCCAGCAGGCTTACAAAGCTGAAACAATCCAGTGAATCGAGACCCTAAGAAACTGATTTGTACGACAGTATTGGTGGAAGCGGCAATATTACGTGACCTGTGCCACAGAAACATAGAAAACAATGAAACAGCATACTATGATCCCAAAAACTCCACGCTTGAATGCGAGTCTTAATCTTTTTCGTTAATTCTGAACATGCATTTGCACTTTACGAGCTTTCATCGTACCTTGGCTACATGTGTTGCACTGAATGTGAAAGCAAATGGCAAATTAACATGGTTCATGGGAGATATTTGATGAATGTTTGGGGGTAGAAATGCAAGTAGACACAGGTAGCAACTTTGAAACTGTCGTCGACGGCGAAAAAAGGACTTTGGGACATTTGTATTTTCTTTACGTGCTTGCTTTCTTTCTTCTTTTTTGGCTACAAAGTTGTTCCTACTATCGCTGATGACGTAACAGGCACTTTCCAGGAGCGCACGCCAAACCTCGCGCCACTCGCCGCGTCATCTGATCCCGAAGCAAAAGGTTTCGCTTAACTACACTAACGGCCGCGCAGCGAGGCGGCGCCACTTGCCGGTGGTCCTTGTCGTTGCACCATCTGTCGTCCCTGTTCGGATGCCATCTACGGAGCACGCAGACGCAACCGTTGTGCACGCAACAGGAGGGAAAGGTTGGAAAGTGTGTTGTTGTTTTTTGCTTGTCGTCCCCGCACTGACGTGCGGAACGCTAATTTTTATATCGGAAAATATCAGGGCAGGCCCCAGGGATAGACGTTGTTCCTTATCCTCCCACATCGCTTCTGCCGTTCCGTAGCCATTTAGCATTACCCCCCCAAAAAGCAAAGCGCATCCCTCATGAGCACGTATTAATTCTCTTGTGTTCACTGGGCTACCAAATCGATGTAATAACAACACCCATGCTAGGCTAAGGCAAATGTTTTGGTAGTCATCGCAACCCTTCCTCCCCAAGCACTTACGATTCAGCTTGTCACGATGCACAAACACCAACACGGTCGGTGTACACACTCTCAGTCACACACCCATACACACCCACCACACAAACGGCTTTGGCAAGAAGAATTCATCGCACTCTTAAACGCTCTGGCGTCAAGAAGCATGCCAAAAGTTGGCTCGACACCCCGGCGTTCAGAAGCGTTGGCACTGACGTGCGGCCGGGCTTCCCCAGACACCACAGACCCAGTGGCGCCATCTCGCCACCAGCGGGCTGCCAGAGAGACGCAACTGACGCTTGTCTAACTCGGCATCACCTCGGCACCAGCCCGCCACCCTCAGAAGAACGCAACTGCGACGACAAGGCGCCAACGACTTGCACTCACGAACACTTTACCAGATCCAGCACACCAGGCGTGAGCCGGCACGCGGCAGTCAGCCGGAGGCCCACTTACAGAGTTCGGTGGCGTCGGCGCCCTAACTGGACGTGACCTCCAAATCGTGCTTTGATAACAGCCCGAGCCCGTCCTCTTGGTCGTGCGCGCTCTGACTCGGTCACCAGCCGCGCGTCCGTTTTCTGTCGGTGTGGGCGCGCAGCCGGCCCCCTTATGGCGGTCAGGCGTCGCTGAACGCGCCGATATCACCACGCACACAACACGTGCGATGACGAAAAGGGTGCCGTAGCATTGAAATCTCTGGACTACAATCTCGCTTTGTGTAGGCATCAACCATCTCCAAATGCAAGATGGGGAACAGTTAAGACCAGAGTCCATCAATAATGCTGGTATGGGGAATGGGCAGTCAAATTGCATCACGGCCTTCTGAAATTGTGGCATCTTGAAGCAAGAAAAATGAGAGATTTTAGCGGTTTTCACATGTCAACCACCGGTAAGGAGCGTTGCTTCCACCGTTGCCTCTTTGATGAGAAATTACGCGAAACGTTAAACGGCAAAACTCACAGTCATAAAACAGTCAAAA